AGAAGAAGAAGAGGAGGAGGAGGAGGAGGAGGAGGAGGGGGGGGGGCTTCTGTCCCGCAAGCCCGGCGGCGAAGCGCCCCCCCTCCCCCCCCGCGCGCCGCCCCTCCCGGCCGGGCGGCGGCCCGCGCCCCGTGGGGCCTCCCTCGAGAGGGCCGTCTGGCTGGGAGGGGGGCGCGCAGTCCTCTTCTTCGATCCTCGATCCTCGAGCCTCCAATCCTCCAATCCTCCTCCTCCTCCTCCTTTTCTCCTCCTCCTCCTCCTCCTCCTCCTCCTCCTCCTCGTCAGTCGAATTCCGCAGGGCGGAGGAGGGCCAATGTGTCTGCTGGGCGCCTCCCGGCAGGTCAGCCCCGCGATCTGCAGATACTTCGACATTCGGGAGGAGCGGCGCTGCCTGTCTTACTACACCTCCCAGCCGGGCTCGCTGAAGAGGACCTCGCTTCGGCATCCCCCCCTCTCCCCAACTTGAAGTCGGGCACGTCTCTCTACAGGAGGAATCTTCAAAACTAGTTTAAACATACGATGGGGAAGTTGTTTCGACTATTCTTGACTATGTTGTTGTATGTTTCAATGATTTCCCAACCATCCTGGGGTGTTGGGTCCTCGCCTTGACGAGACAACGCCCCGCGTTCCTCACTCCTTCCTCCTCCCCCTCCTCCCTCCTCCCCCTCCTCCCTTCTCCCCCTCCTCCTTCCTCCCTGCGTCTCACCCACCCAGTACAGCGTTTCGTGGCCCCATAGGGAGCTTCACCGAAGGCCCCAGTGGCAGGGTTCGCATGGCGGCCCCGCCCTATTTTGGCGCACACCTCACACGGTTCGTGGCCCCATAGGGAGTTCCACCGAAGGCCCCAGTGGCATCCCAGGAGCCCACGAAAGTGGCGACAGTTGCGCAGATCGCAGCCCCCCAGGGCGCCGCGAGGTCCCGAGGTGATCCGCATTGGTCGTACCTCCGCTGGGCCTCCCAGGAGCCCACGAAAGTGGCGACAGTTGCGCAGATCGCAGCCCCCCAGGGCACCGCGAGGTCCCGAGGTGATCTGCGTTGGGCGTACCTCCGCTGGGCCTCCCAGGAGCCCACGAAAGTGGCGACAGTTGCGCAGATCGTAGCCCCCCAGGGCGCCGCGAGGTCCCGAGGTGATCCGCATTGGTCGTACCTCCGCTGGGCCTCCCAGGAGCCCACGAAAGTGGCGACAGTTGCGCAGATCGCAGCCCCCCAGGGCGCCGCGAGGTCCCGAGGTGATCCGCGTTGGGCGTACCTCCGCTGGGCCTCCCAGGAGCCCACGAAAGTGGCGACAGTTGCGCAGATCGCAGCCCCCCAGGGCGCCGCGAGGCTCCGAGGTGATCCGCGTTGGGCGTACCTCCGCTGGGCCTCCCAGGAGCCCACGAGGTGATCCGCGTTGGGCGTACCTCCGCTGGGCCTCCCAGGAGCCCACGAAAGTGGCGACAGTTGCGCAGATCGCAGCCCCCCAGGGCGCCGCGAGGTCCGAGGTGATCCGCGTGGGACGTACCTCCGCTGGGCCTCCCAGGAGCCCACGAAAGTGGCACAGTTGCGCAGATCGCAGCCCCCCAGGGCGCGCGAGGTCCGAGTCCGCGTGGGACGTACCTCCGCTGGGCCTCCCAGGAGCCCACGAAAGTGGCGACAGTTGCGCAGATCGCAGCCCCCCAGGGCGCCGCGAGGTCCGAGGTGATCCGCGTTGGACGCTACCTCCGCGTTGGGCCTCCGCAGGAGCCCACGAAAGTGCCGACAGTTGCGCAGCCTCCCCGAGGAGCCCCCACGAAAGTGGCGACGCAGTGATCCGCGTTGGGCGTACCTCCGCTGGGCCTCCCAGGAGCCCACGAAAGTGGCGACAGTTGCGCAGATCGCAGCCCGACGGCACCAGAAGAGAGGAGAGGGGAACACAGGAAACATGGGAGGAGGAGGGGAGAAGGGGGAGGAGAGGGAGGAGGCTGGGGCGACCACACTGCTCTATTCAAAACGAGTGCCCAACTATAGGAGGGTTGGGAACACCATAATTCATATTTAGATATATGGATATGTATATCTATTCCATTCTCCATGAGCATTATTTTTGATCCGACCACAGCTGGTCACCTGACCCGGGCGTCTCAAAACCGGCGCGTGATTCGATGCGACGGCCTTTTCAACCGACGCAGCCAGCGCCAGCACTGCTGTCGCGCGTCCGCCGCGGGCCTCACTAGAACTGGTCTGCCCCCTTCACGCGCGGCTGCTCCACAAACTCCCACACCCGGGCCCCGCTTTGCGGAGAGTGTGGACCAATAAATTGACACACCAGAGACCGCACCCTCTATATTTATATATATACACATATTAGCACCACGTAGACGGCACAATGCTTATTGATAGGAACCATTGTCTGGGGTCCGCGCCGACTAGCATGGCAACCATTTAAGAATTGCTCGTTCAGAGTGTGGTCGTCATTTTGGACTCCCCTGGGTGCCCAATTGTTTTTGTTTGTCATGCCACTCTCTGATGTTGACGCCGCCCGTGGCCATTTTGGTGCCTCCTCCAATTTGGTCTTTTCGATGTGTTTGTTACCATCGCGAAAGGCAGGATCTGTTCTGTTGATATTCCTTCATGTGTTGTCTCCAGGGTGATCATCCCATGCCCTTTCTCCCCTCTCCCCTTCTCTCTCTCTGGTTGTTTTTTTGTTTCTCTTTCTCTCTCTCTCTCTGCCGTTCTCGTCAACCATTTTCGTACATCATTTTGCAACGGCATAATTATTTGTTTCTTTCTCTCTCTTTCTCTCTATCTCTTCCTCTCCCTGTCCTTCTCCCTGTGCATGTATGTCTCTCTCTCTCTTTTTCTCTCTGCGTTGGGCTCAGGTTGGGTAGGTCGCGCGAGCGGAGATCGCGGTCGGCGGGGCGCAAAGGACGGCTTACAACTGCATCTTCTTTGCCGCCATCCGCAACGTCACGCCCGTCGAGGGCCGTTCCAACCCCGTCTACTGATCCTCCTCCTCCGTCCTCGTCCCCCCTTCTGATCCCTTCCTCCTCGCCGTCCTCAGCTCCCCTCCCTGTCTTCTCTACTGTTTCCCTCCCCCCTCTCCCACGCAACGCACCACACACGGCACATATCACACAACACATGACACACACACATAATGCCTACACAGCACATGCCACGCAACACATCACACATTGCAAAGCACACAGCACACAGGGCAGACGTCACAACATGCACAATGCACAACACGCAACACATACGTGCCACTACCCTGTGCCTCCTCCCCCCGCCCGTCCAGCACACATTCGGCGCACGCACCGTACGCCCTCCGCTCCGGCCCGCCCAGTACAGCAGCACACCGCACAACGCCTCACAACGGTTCACAACTTTTCACAACTCACAACGAGGACGACACACCCGCATACCATACAGAGTACAACACACGGCCAGCAGGGTATCACACACCACAAACACGTGCAGCACGCACGCGCGCACGCAGCGCATCGCTCGGCACGGCAGACCAGCACGTCGGACCAGAGCGGCACGGCGGACCAGCACGGCAGACCACACCGGCACCGCAAGCCGACACAGCGGGCCATGGCAGCACGGCGGCCCGGCGCGGCAGATCGCCGGAGCACGGCAGGCCAGCGCGGCAGACCACGGCAGCGCGGCAGACCGTGGCAGCGGCACGACAGAGCAGCACGGCAGGCCAGCACGACGGTGCCCTCTCGAGCCCAACTTTACCACTGCGGCGCTTCCCGTTGTTGTCCAGTCCGTGGTTTTCGGCCCGCGGGGCCCAGACCTGCTCCTCCTCCTCCTCCTCCTCCTCCTCCCTCCTCCCTCCTCCCTCCTCCCTCCTCCCTTCTCCCTCCTCCCTCCTCCCTCCTCCCTCCTCCCTCCTCCTCCTCCTCCTCCTCCTCCTCCTCCTCCTCCTCCTCCTCCGCCCGAAGTCTGGGTTCGGGGTCAAAAAATCAACGCTCGGACTCGTCCAGGGTTGCTTTCTGGCCAGGGCTTGGCAGGGGTCCGGCCGTGGCGACGAGGAGCCCCTGGGAGGCCCGAGGGCGGCGAGAGACGCCCAGAGACTGCGGTCCTCGAGCCCCGCGGCACGGACAGCACATCCACGGCCGCGCGGCCAGGGCCCTGGGCTGCGAGGCCATGGGTACGGGGCGCTTCTTCGCGGATGCCCCGGGCGCAACGCATCCGTGCGACCTCGCATCCACGGGACCCAGAGACGTGCGACGTTTCGACCAACAAACAAAGAAACGACACCACTCCGCCTGCGGCCCTCCATGTTGCGCTACGGCCCATCGGGGGCCGTAGCGCGTACCATGCGAAAAACCTGCACCAGGCTTCCTGGTATCAGCCGAGCCCCGCGGGGCCATGGGTGGGGTGGTGGCGTTTGTTTTCTGGGCCGACGTTCTGATTTTTTCCATGCGCGGCCCCCGGGAATCCCGACCCTTTCCCCCGGGCCGTTTCTCTGTCCGGACTTTTTCTTTTGACGGCTCCCCGGGGCTCGGCGAGGGCCCCCATAGGCGGAAACTGGCCACAAACCTTCCGTCGCGTTTTTTTTGGGGGAGCGACGCCGCGGCCCAGAGCCCGGGCCGCGAGGGCGGGCGCGGGCAGGGACCCGCTCGCCGCTCGTGGTCGGCCCCGGCAGGGTGGCCCGACCCGCAGGCCCGGTTCTTCTTCTTCTTCTTCTTCTTCTTCTTCCTCCTCCTCCTCCTCCAACTCAGGCGCTCAAGATCACTGAGAGAAGGCTGGCGAAGGCGCTGGATGAATGGGAGTCGGCACGTGGGTGGGTTGCGAAGAAGCATGCGGAGGTTGTCAAATTACGTGAGGAGTTATCTGAGAAGGATCGCATTCACACGGACCTTGTTGGGCAGTTGCACGCGAATGTATGTAAGCCGCCGCCGATCCTGTCCAACACGGCGACGCAGATCAACGTTCGTGACCTACTCGACGGTCGATTGTCGGAGATCAGTATTGTTGGTGGTGACGAGCTGCTGGGAGTTCCTACAGCTGAGTACGACTTCTCCTCCGAGGACGTCGAGCTGTTGCAGGCGAAGCAGAAGGAGCTGCTGGCAGGAGTTCAGGAGCTGGCCACCACGCTGTACTCGGACCTGGTCGCCACGCTCGACAAGGCCAAAAAAGAACATCGAGAACAGCTCGCAAGGCTATCCCATAAGAAGAGGAAGATTGGCGAAGGTGCACCTCCAGGAGGCGGGGAAGCAGCAGACGGCGCTGGCGCCGCGGGACGCGCGGCGGCTTCCTCAGCTGCCAGCGCTCCCACCGCGGGAGGCCCCGCCGCAGCTGCTGCCGCTGAGCCAATGCCTGGTGGTGACGGAGCGGCCCTTCGTGAGCGGGCGGCACGTGCCGCAGCCAAGCCCCCTGAGGCCGCGGCATCTCAGCCTGCGCAGGCGAGCCCCCCTGGACGCGGTTCCGCCAACTGAGTCCAGGGGGGGTCCCCAGTCAGTAGACAACTTTTTGCAGAATCAGCCAGTCCCAGGACCAATTTTTTTCCACGTTCTGGACAGCGGCCCCAACACGCAAGAGTTTAATGGTGTCCTCAGAGCCCCAGCCCACCCAGGCCCAGAAGACTTTGAGTTAGTTTTTGAAACCATCAACTCCAGCAGTTGGACGTCGGCTAAACCCTGGCTTTAAAAATCCCCCGCCCACATAATTCTTTTACAGGAGCATCACCTAGCTAAGAAGACAGCGATTGATGAAGCCTCGTCCTGGTGTCGTCGCCACGGCTGGCTTGCTCGAATTTCTCCTGCCCTGGTCACGCCCGAGGGGGGCACGTCTGGAGGTACGGCAGTTTTGGTTCGGGACTGGCTCGGCTGTTACGACATCACTAAGGGACCAGAATTCTACCAAGGTCGCGCTACGGTATGCTGGGTGCAAGTACCTGGCGGCATCACAATCCTTTGCTGTTCGCTCTACCTCAAGGACTCCGAAGGTCTTTCGGAGCTCAACCTAGGTGTTTTAGCCAAGGTCGGGTCTCTGTGTAATTCCTGCTCCTCCCCGTTCCCCGTGGGGGGAGATTTTAACATGCCCCCTGAAGAGCTTGCAGAGTGTGGCTTTGCGGCTGGCCTCTCGGCCAACATTGTGTTCCCCCCCGACTCGATTTCGTGCACTAGTAACGCCGAGGGAGGAGGGAATCTGCTTGACTATTTCGTCACCAGTCCTGGGCTCGGGAAAGGGGTTGCTGGCACCTCGGTCGTGTTGACTGCGGATGCCCGTCCGCGTCGGCCCGTCCGCGTTCGGTTCCATCAGTCCCTGGCCGATCTTCAGGTTCTGTCTTTTGTGCGACTCCCACCCATCCCTGCCCTTCTCCCCGTCGGACCCTTCCCGAAACCCACCAGCTGGCAAGAAACCGTTGACTGTGCCGAGCATGCCTTGGAGCTTGTTCGATCAGGAGCCCCCAGGTCGTCGATCCAGCGTCATGTTAATCTCGTGTACAAATTTTGGGCCAATCAGTCTAAGTCTGAGCTTGAGTCGGCGTATCAGGTGAAGTTACCCATCCTCGGAACCCGCGGCAAGGTTCCTAGGCTCGCCTGGAAATCGGTTCTCGCCCAGGACCGCAGCAGGAAGCCCAGGCAGCCTGCTCTGTATGCGTTGCGCTGGCTTGAAGGGGGCTTTCGATGGCTCATCGTCTACGCTAGCACTGACCGCAGGCGCCAGGCTCAGGAAGTCTCGCAGCTCCTCTTTTCCCCACCCAAAGATTTCAGTGATCATCTCGTCACGTTCTCTGACCTGGCCCAGCGAGTCAAGGATCACGTTCAGCCCATTGTCGAATATGTGCAGTCTGCTTGTGAAGATGGTCGGTCCGCCTGTACCGACCAGTCCTGGCAGGGTGCTGGTAACTCTATATTGGAGGCGCTCAGTGAAGCGCTGGGCACGTACTCCGCCACTGCCGGGGCCGAGGCCGCCGCCAATTGGAAGGAATGGCTGTGTGGCGGCATCGGGGGAGGGGGTAAGCGTGCTCACAATTGGACCCGCCCCCCCAATGCTTGGACCCCCACTTACACCGTCTCTTCCGACGGTAAAGTTTTGGCTGGCCCCAAGAGCCTTTTGCAGACGGAGTGTGCGCGTTTTTCTGGCCTTTGGAGGGCCCAGGGGGCCCCGTTCCGTGGCAAACTTGGTTTTGAACGGTACCTTCCCCCCTTGTCTTGGATTGAACCAGACGCCATTCGTCAGGCATCTCGGTCATACAAGCTGGCCTCTGCCGTAGGTGCAGACGGGTTTCATATGCGTCATTTTCAGGCACTTAGTGAATCGGCTCTCCACGTCCTCATGACTCTCTGGTCCGTCATGGAAAACACTGGTTTGATCCCGAAGCAGGTCCGTGCTTTGAGTTTGGCCCTTCTCGAAAAACCAACGGGGGGGTGGGGGCCAATCGGCATTTTCGCTGGCTATTATAGGTTGTGGGGGCGGCTGCGGCGGCCAGTCCTCCAGGCTTGGGAGACCAGCGTGAGCAGGCCTTACTTGGCCGCCACCGCCTTTGCTGGTGCAGGTGGCGTCGTGTGGAGGCAGGCCTTGCGCTCCGAGGCCGCCGTCTGCAGCTCGCTCGTATCGTGCAGCATGCTCTGGGATTTATTCAAGTTCTTTGAGACTATTTGCTTGGAGAAGCTCAAGGATCGCTGCCAGTTCCTGAGCTTCCCGCCGCAGATAGCCAAAGTCTGCCTCAACATGTACTCAGGACCGCGCTTTGTGATGTTAGGGCCAATGGTCCAAGGGCCGTTTTATGCGCTGCGAGGAGTCATAGCTGGCTGCTCTGCCGCCGCGAGTTTTGTGCGAGCCTACGTGATTCCCTCTCTCGACCTCATCTCCCCCAGGGTCCAGGAGGGTCTCGACGTGTACATTGACGATTACGGTTATTGTATTCAGGCTCGTCCGTGTTCCATCGCCAATCTCGTGGTTGAGGCTGCCAGAGAGCTTCATCATGTCATTACGGAAGACATGGATTGCACCATCTCTCTCGACAGAGCCACTCTTGTCTGCTCTTCCACCGTCCACGGAGGTCGCATCAAGAAGCTGCTTGGTCCTCTGGCTGGAACGCCTAAGGATACCGCGGCTAACCTAGGTGTTTACGAGACCGCTGGCATGGGAAGGAGGAGGGGCAGGAGGGGACAAACATATGCTTACAGGCGGCGAGTCTTTAAACATCGCCAAGCTAGGTTTCGCAGGTGCAAGACCATGCTCGGGCGGCGCACTTGCCGCATCTTTTCTGCGGGTCCCCTGGCAGGACTATTCTATGATGCCGACACGCATGGAGTGTCAGACTTCGAGCTGGCCAGTGCGAGACGTGCTCTGGGATCTGCTCTCAAGCCGTCATCAGGTCAGCGCTCCCTCACTTCCCTCCTCACCCTCTATAACGATCCCACGTGGAGGGCCGCGGTGGCCCCTATCGTTCGGTTTGCCAAAGAGGTTTGGGGGTCCCATTCGAGGCTGCCCGACCATGTGTTGTCGTTTCGGGTTTTAAGTGAAGCGTGGAAAATTGTTTTTATTGATGCCCCTGTCCCCTCCTGGCGTCAGGTCCGAGGCCCGCTGCAGGCCATGCGTCTTTCCCTCACCAGGATAGGTTGGCACATGTCATCGTGGCACACTCTCATCAACGACTTCGGTGATGAGATCCTGCTCGCTTCCACGTCTCCGTCGCTTGTGGCCGATATGCTCTTCGAGGGGGTGATGCGCACGCACCAGAGGGCGGCAGGTGACAAGTTGGGGACGGGGAGGGTGTGCTTCGATGTCGTGGCCTCAGAACTGCGTCGCTCGGCTCGCACGCCGCGCGATCGAGGATGCATCAGGCTGCTCGCTTGCGACGGCACGTGGACTAAGGACCGCGCCGTCGAGCGAGGCTACGAGCTTCAAGATAATCTTTGCCCTCTGTGCGAGGGTGCTCCTGCTTCGCTTATGCACCGTCTCTGGCAGTGCCCGAGTGTAGCTGATCAGCGCCTCGAGGCTTGTGATGCTGCCATCGTCGAGGAAGCCGTTAGGGTCATCAGCGAAGGCAGTGAATGTGAGAAGCTGCTGTTTTCCAGGGGCATTTTCCTCCATCCAGGGGGCTGGTTGCCGAGGCCCGCTGAGGCTGGAAAAATCGCCCACTCTTTTGCTGGAGGTCCAGGGGCCGCCCCAGGCGCCGTTGGAGTTTCGGGTGATGTCTTTTGGGACGGTTCGTCCTACAAGCACGTTGTCAAGGAGCTGTCACGGGCGGGCTGGGGATTTGTCTCTGTGGACCACCAGGGAGAGGTCATCGCCTCTGTATCGGGGGCTGTGTCTAGGCGGGTGAATACAGTGCCTATGCGGCTACTGCTCAATGCCTAGAAGGGCCCACGACGGGCTGTGCGGATTGCCTAGGGGTCGTCCTGGCCCACGATGCGCCCAAGCCTGTCCGTTTCAGTTATAAGAAGAAGTATTCTGGCAGCGCCATTTTCTCCGCCTCTCCCCATTGGACAGCTGTGAGGAAGGTGAAAGCTCACACTGTAGAGGCTGCCGACATGTCCGCTGAAGATAGATTTTTGATGTTGGGCAGCGATGCCGCTGACAGAGCTGCTAAGATAGGTGCCGCCCTCCATCCGCAGGCCAGTGCGGGCGAGAAGGCCCAGGTTGAGCGCATCGTCAAAGTTGCCCGTTCCGGTTGCAGAGTTGCCGCTGCGGTCCTCCCGTGCTGGCCTAAGCTCGATCTCGAAGGTGTGTCGCGTGCCATTCCCATGCCGCCTCCTCCTCCGCTCGAGCCCCTCTTCGACCACCAATGGGAATGGTACCGCAGCTGTTGGCGTTGCACGTGCTGTCTGCGTTTCCGTCGCTGCGACGAGCGACCTGTTTCTAGTGGGTGCCGAGGCGAGCCTCCCCCCGCTGTGCAAAGCATATCGGATTTGGGTCACCGCCTCCTTGCCCTGCAGTGCAGTGACCAGTCGCCGTTGTTCGTATGTGTCAGATGTAAAGCCTACACCTGTCTCGGACGAGTGTTGCGACTGAGCCGCCAATGCGATCCTACCAAGACTGGCCGCAATGATATGGATCGCTGGCGGCTCATGAAGCGTGGTTTTCACCCTAAGCTCAAAGGGGTTACGGTTGAAGCCATGCCAGATATGGATTAGTGTATGCCGCTGTGTTCGTCGTTCTTCTTGCACGGCCCGATGCGTCTGGCCCTTTTGGCAGGCATCCGTGCTATACCCCACATCTGGGGCGAGATCACCGGCCGTCCTGGCGCTTGTTGCACCAGGGGCTGGTGGTCTCGTCGTCCTTGTGTGGGTGGTCGATATTTTGTTGTCTTTTGCCATTTAGCCTGTGTTCGGCTGTACATCTGGGGCGAGGACTTGTCGTCCAGGCGCATTAGCACCTGGGGCAGCCTCGTCGTCCTTGTGTTAGCCCTTCCTCGGTTTGTTCGTACGTTTCCGCACGTGTGTCAGGCACCCCATCTTTGGGGGAAGTGTGCGCATTGGTGATGGTTTCTTGAGGGGAGCACGGGGGTACGTCTACCCCGACTGTCGCTCCCACGGCGTTTGCTGAGGCCTGGTGAGTTGTCCCTGGCCACATCGCCTGGCCCTCCGCTCGGTCCGTGTGCGTGCACGCGTGCGTTTCGTGCAGTGGGGCCCACTCTTTTAGTTCTGGGGCTATCGCCCCGTGGTCATGGGTTGGAGGTGTCGCTGCGGACAGGAGCTTGGCTCCCAGCCCCGACACGCTCGCAGCCGTGGCCTGCGTGTTTTCCGCATGTCCTTTGGTACAGTCGAGGGCATGCGGGCTCCGAGGCACACTCCACGGGCAGGATCTTGCTTGCGGCATTGATACCCGCCTAACTCTGGTGGGTTCGTTGTCGCGCGTCCTCCCGTGTCGAGGGCCTCTTTGTTCCTTTTTCCCTCAGATCACCTGTTGGGCAATGTTGAATGGAAACAAATCCTCCTCCTCCTCGCTCCCCCCCCCCCCGTCTCGAGGGCGGCCCGCCGGCGCAGGGCTCGGGCGAGACCCGTCGGCGCCGCGCCGCGGCGCCCGAGCGGAAAGGAGAGCCGCGCGCGTGGTCGCGCCGCTGCTCCTGCCCTCCGCTCCCTCCCGCGAGAGGTCGCCGGACCCCCTCGAGGAAGGGAAATGCCCCTCCCCCTCGCCCTCCCCTCCCCCTCCCCCTCCTCCTCCTCCTCCTCCTCCTCCTCCTCCTCCTCCTCCTCCTCCTCCTCCTCCTCTCCTCCTCCTCCTCCTCCTCCTCCTCCTCCTCCCCTCCTCCTCCTCCCCCCTGCCCCTCCCCTCCTCGTCGTCCTCCTCCCCCTCCTCCTCCTCCTCCTCCTCCTCCTCCCCTTCTCCTCCTCCTCCTCCTCCTCCTCATCCTCCTCCTCCTCCTCCCTCCTTCTCCTCCTCCTCCTCCTCCTCCTCCTCCTCTCTCCTCCTCCTCCTCCTCCTCCTCCTCCTCCTCCTCCTCCTCCTCCGCCTCCTCCTCCCCCTCCTCCTCCTCCCCCTCCCCCTCCCCCTCCTCCTCCTCCCCCTCCCCCTCCCCTCCTCGTCCCCCTCCTCGTCGTCGTCCTCCCCCTCCCCCTCCTCCTCCTCCTCCTCCTCCTCCTCCTCCTCCTCCTCCTCCTCCTCCTCCTCCTCCTCCTCCTCCTCCCTGCTCCTCCTCCTCCACGACGGGAGGTTTGTCGCCACGTGCGGCCTCCGCGGGGGCCCTCGCCGGGCCGCGGGGCCGTCGGCAGAAGCGGCTCGGGAGGGCAAGCCGGTCCATGGGGGAGGGGGTCGAGGCCTCGGGAGGTCGGCGTAATGTGAAATCGGGAGGGGGTCGAGACCTCGGGAGGGGGTCGAGACCTCGGGAGGGGGTCGAGACCTCGGGAGGTCGAGACCTCGGGAGGGCGTCGAGTCGAGACCTCGGGAGGTCGGCTCGGGAGGGCAGGCTGGTCCATGGGGAGGGGGTCGAGACCTCGGGGGGTCGGCGTACACCTCAGGCGATGCTTAAGAAAACTTCAGTTTTCGGCCAGAGTCTCGATTATTCTTAATGTTTCAATGTAAATCCTAAGATTTTAATAGCAATGTTGGTTTTTTTTATTCAAGTTCTGAGACTATTAATTTCTCAACCCATGATTTCTTAAGCATGTCGCAGGGTGTAATGGGAAGTCGGGCGTATCCCTCTACAGGGGGATATTATTCGAACATAGTCAAAAAATAGTCTGGGGATTTTTTTGGGGGAGGGGGTCGAGACCTCGGGAGGTCGGCGTAGTGTGAAGTCGGGCGTGTCCTGTTGGAAAGTTGGAAAAAATAGTCTGGGGACGATTTTTTTGACTAGTTTTGAAGATCTGGGGGGTGTTTTTGAGCATTTTTTATTTCTCGCCCAAAATCCCTCTGCAGGGGGACACGCCCGACTGAAGCGTGATGAGCAAAGCATGATGTCCCGAGGGCGTTTTCCTGCTCGCTCCCACAGCGCGTGCCCGCATCCTCTTCGCCGAGGTGCTTCGAAGCTCCTGTGGGAGCTCTCGCGGAGCAGCCTTTCCCGAGGCCGCAAGCAGTCCACATGCGTTCTCCTCACCGTGCGAGTCCAGAGTCTTGCATCGGGCCTGGCTGGCTGTGTGAGGCTGCGTGCGACAGGCAGCCGGACCTGGAGAGAGGTGCTGCTTTGCGAGGTCCCTGACCTTCCCTTTCCCTCCCTCTCCAAAAAAAAGCCTTGGTTCGTTTCTCGTTCTGCTTTTTTTCGTGTGTTTTGTTTTCTCGTTTTGTCTGGTTCAAGCCCCAGCCAGAACCTCGCCCTGGCCTCAGCCGTCGTCCCATGTATTCGTTTCGTTTTTCATTCTGTTTCCAGCGCGGTCTGCGAAGTTCGCTTCGTTTTGCGCTCTGCTTTCGCCATGAGCGGTGGCCTCGTTTCGTTTCTCGTTGGCGTTTTCGCTCTCCCCCCCCCCTCTCCAACAGATTGGGCTGATCGGCAACAAAACGATGGGGCATCGGCGGGCCTCTCCCGGTGGGGCCCCTCCGCCGTTCCTCCACGGGGGGAGGCCCCCCCGCGCCGGGCCTCTCTCGCCGAGCCGGCCGAGAAGGCGACGGGCCCGGGGGGCGCAGAGCTGGACCCTCCCTGGCCCCCCCCCCCTCCCCAGTCCCCTGACGTCATGATTTTTTCATGACGTCGACCCCAAAGGTTTCGACCTGTTTCCCGGGACCGGTGTTTCATCCTGAGTCGACTCTTTGACGGTCCCGAGGCCCGGTAAGGGCCCCGAGATGCCGAAAGTCGTGAAAAACCTCCCGTCGTGATTTTTTCATTGCTCGAGGGGGTCTGGGTCTCCAAAACACTGCGCCGACCCACAACCGCAGAAAAACCATAGTGGATCGGCGGGCCTCTCCGGGTGGGTCCGCGCTGCCGGCCTCCAGGGGGGGGGGGCGGGCCTCGCCCGGCCTCTCTCGCAGGGGCCGGCCGAGAACGGCTGCGGCTCGGGGGGCGCAGAGCCGGACCCTCCCGGCGGGCCCCCCCCCCCTCTCCTCCACGACGACGACGACGACGACGACAACGACGACGACGACGACGACGACGACGACGGCGACGACGACGACGACGACGACGAGACAAAAAAAAAGCCTGGGGGGATCGGCGGGCCTCTCTGGGTGGGGCCGCTGCCCCGGCCTCGGGGGGGGAGGGGGCGGGGCGCCTCTCGCCGGGCCTCCTCCTCGGGGCTGGCCGAGCCGGCGAACACGGCTCGGGGCGCAGAGCTCCGGCCCTGTGGTAGAAAGCCGGGCCTGTCCCTCTACGGAAGGCGTGCTCAAAAGTAGTATAAGGAGGAGGAGGAGGAGGAGGAGGAGGAGGAGGAGGGAGGAGGAGGAGGAGGAGGAGGAGGAGGAGGAGGATAGTCAGGGGACGTTTTTTTGTTGTCTTTGTTTGTTTGTTGTTCTTGTTTTTGTTAATCAAGTTTTCTCTGTGATTCTTCTTTGACTTTGTTTCTTCCTCAATCCGCCGGTAGGAGGGCGCGCCCGACCTAGCCCTACAAGGAGGTGGCCCAGAGCTCCGAAGAACGGCCCACGCATCGAAACAAAAAGATTTGCCTGGCGAAGGACCCAACCATATGTAGTTTTGGGTACCGCAAGTGTGAGCATTTTCTTCGGTGGCGATCCCTTTGGGGCCACGAACCGCATGAGTTGTGTGCCGAATTGCTTGGCGGGCCGTGTGAGGGGTGTACCGTAATGGGTGGCGGTGGCGCATCTGGACGCAGCCACTGGGGCCTTCGGTGGAGCTCCCTATGGGGCCACGAACCGTGTGAGGGGTGTGCTGTAATGGGTGGCGATGACGCATGCAACCGCACCCGCTGGGGCCTTCGGCGGAGCTCCCTCTGTGGCCGCGAACCGTGTGAGGGGTGTGCCGTAATGTGTGGCGGTGGCGCATGCAACCGCACCCACTGGGGCCTTCGGTGGAGCTCCCTATGGGGCAACGAACGGTGTGAGGGGTGTGCCGTAATGGGTGCCGGTGGCGCATCCGGACGCAGCCACTGGGGCCGTCGGTGGAGCTCCCTATGGGGCAACGAACCGTGCGAGGGGTGTGCCGTAATGGGTGGCGGTGACGCATGCAACCGCACCCACTGGGGCCTTCGGCGGAGCTCCCTATGGGGCCACGAACCGTGTGAGGGGTGTGCTGTAATGGGTGCTGGTGACGCATGCAACCGCACCCACTGGGGCCTTCGGTGGAGCTCCCTCTGTGGCCACGAACCGTGTGAGCGGTGTGCCGTAATGGGTGGCGGTGACGCATGCAACCGCACCCACTGGGGCCTTCGGCGGAGCTCCCTATGGGGCCACGAACCGTGTGAGGGGTGTGCCGTAATGGGTGCTGGTGACGCATGCAACCGCACCCACTGGGGCCTTCGGCGGAGCTCCCTATGGGGCCACGAACCGTGTGAGGGGTGTGCCGTAATGGGTGGCGGTGACGCATGCAAACGCACAATTGGGGCCTTCGGTGGAGCTCCCTATGGGGCAACGAACCGTGTGAGGGGTGTGCCGTAGTGGGTGCCGGTGACGCATGCAAACGCACCCGCTGCGGCCTTCGGTGGAGCTCCCTATGAGGCCAAGAATCGTGGGGCTTTCGGTGGAGCTCCTTGTGGGGCCACGAAACGTGTGAGAGGTGTGCCGTAATGGGTGGCGGGACGCATGCAACCGCACCCATTGGGGCTTTCGGTGGAGCTCCCTATGTGGCCACGAACCGTGTGAGGGGTGTGCCGTAATGGGTGGCGGTGACGCATGCAACCGCACCCGCTGGGGCCTTCGGTGGAGCTCCCTATGGGGCCACGAATCGTGTGAGGGGTGTGCCGTAATGGGTGCCGGTGACGTATGCAAGCGCACCCACTGGGGCTTTCGGTGGAGCTCCCAATGGGGCCACGAACCGTGTGAGGGGTGTGCCGTAATGGGTGCCGGTGACGCATGCAAACGCACAATTGGGGCCTTCGGTGGAGCTCCCTATGGGGCCACGAACCGTGTGAGGGGTGTGCCGTAATGAGTGGCGGTGACGCAAGCAACCGTACCCACTGGGGCCTTCGGTGGAGCTCCCTATGGGGCCACGAACTGTGTGAGGGGTGTGCCGTAATGGGTGCCGGTGGCGCATCCGGACGCAGCCACTGGGGCCTTCGGTGGAGCTCCCTATGGGGCCACGAACCGTGTGTGAGGGGTGTGCCGTAATGGGCGGCGGTGACGCATGCAACCGCACCCACTTGGGTCTTCGGTGGAGCTCCTTGTGGGGTCACGAAACGTGTGAGGGGTGTGCCGCAATGGGTGGCGGTGACGCAAGCAACCGAACCCACTGGGGCCCTCGGTGGAGCTCCCTATGGGGCCACGAATCGTGTGAGGGGTGTGCCGTAATGTGTGGCGGTGACGCATGCGAGCGCACCCACTGGGGCTTTCGGTGGAGCGCCCTAAGGGACCACTAACCGTGTGAGGGGTGTGCCGTAATGGGT